ATATTAGTTTATTTAGATTTTAAGTTTCGAACGATTTTAATAAATATTAATTGAGTAAATAAATTTTTATTTACTGCTAGTTTTTTCCGCCACTACTGTATCAAAATTCTTTCAACTATCGGAATATAAAGTGAATTTTTTTTAAAAGCCAAATTTTCTTTCATCTTAAATATAAATCATAAACTGAATTTTGTGTTAACTTTAATACTGAAATTCTTATAAAAAAGAAAAACAACAAGTATAAGAAATAAAATTGTATAAATTTACTTTTAAACTGTAAGTTAAGCCACTCGTAATCAATAAATATACATACTGACTGTTATGCATGTAGATTTATATACTAGTTATAACTTTTAAATTTTATAAAAGTAAAATAGAATTTAATAAAATAATTGTTTCAAACTTATTTAAAATTCTAAAGTTTTGAATAATCAAATTAACTTGTAAGTTAAATAAGTTGAATTGAATTTAAATATAGTTAAATCAAAATTTTTTGACTTAAGTTAAATTATAAATTAAATTAAATCAAATTAACTAAACTTATTTTAAATTAAGTTGATTATAAATTTATTAGAAGTTAAAACAAATCAGATTAAATTTTAAGAAACAAATAATTTTTATTATTTTTTTAAAATAATATATTATTTTTAAAAAAACAAATTTTTTTATTATTTTTTATCAATTCTTTTATATAATAATTTATTGTTTTATTAGATAATTAATTTTATTATTTCTTAAAAAATAATATTTTTTATTATTCTTTTTAATATTATATTATTTTTAAGAAACTATTTTTTTTAGAATAATTTAATTTATTATTATAAACAAATGGATTTTTTATTATTTCTTTAAAATAATATTTTATTATTTTTAAAGGAAGGATTTTTTTTATTATTCTATTAAAACAATTTCTTATGATAATACTTTAAGTTAAATTAACTCAAATTTATTTATATGACTTAAAAAAAATTAAGTTGAAATTTAAATTTTTTTTAATTTAATTTGACTTAATTTATTTTTTTCAATAATTCTTATTCAATTTATTTAAATTTTATTAAAAATTCTAGAATTTTAATTTATAAAAGCTATATTTAAAAATATTTGAGAATTTACTAAAATATAATAAGTTTATTTAAAAAAATAAACTTTGATTTACTAATCTAACTTATTAAAAAAATACCAATTATAAAAATTGAATTTATAATTTATAAACTCAATGAATATATTTGATGAGATTAATATTAAAGAATATTTAAAAATATTATGTTTAAATATAATAAATTCTATATTTATTATTAAATTATATATTAAAAATTCCATTAAAAATAGATAACTTAAAATTATTGTAAAAGTTGAAAATTGAAGAAATTTGAAATGGGTATGGTATCATAAAAAGTTTCTTGATTTTTTAATATGGAAGCTTTGCAGTAGAAAAGGAGGAACTCTAAAAAAAATCAAAATTTTACTTTCTAAACTAATTATGATTTTTTTTAATTTTTTTAGTAAAATAACGATAAGTTCAGATTTAACATTAACTCAAAAAAAATTTTTTTAGAGTTTCGTTCCTTTCTACTGCAAATTGAATGATTTATTTGTATATTACATGATTATTTCTAAATGTATCTTTATTTCATGATAATAAGTGCTAACTTAGTAAAGTATATTTTCTAATTTTTTAATATCTGCTACATAAAATGGATATTAAATTAAAATCAAGTTAATTTATAAAGAACCAGTTTAACATCTTAAAGCAATGAATCAGTTATTATTTGTTAAAAAGAAGTCACATTGCAATCATTGTTTCACCCATCATGATTTGTAATTATATAGATATAAAAATTTTTTATAACGTAATTTGTCTCAAAGATAAGAATCATTACTAGAAAATTAAAAAAATTTAGAATAGTAATATGATTAAATTTTAAAATTTTCTATTTAGTTTATATGAAAACTGAGGTATAATTTTTGAGATGACGATATTTTGTTGCGGATCGATTCATTTCCTTATCTGGTCGAAAATGTTATTAGATAAATGATACAATCCAAGGTAAAAAAAACCACTCACTTATTGACTTTGGTTTCTTATCGTTTCTTCACATCATTATCAGAATTCTTACAATGTAACTAAACATGACTTCTCTCATTTTCCTTAATTCAGAGCTATCTCGTTCCAACCTAAGGATGGTTCGTAGATATTTCAAAATTTTAGGTTGGCAGTTAATAAATTTTTAATTGTAATAACATCAATAACTTGAAATCTTTAGAAATAATAAATATATTGTACGAATATAGAATCTAGATGTAAACTGTTAAATATTCTATATTTAATGGTTAAAAAAACTTAATATAAACCAATAGACAAAAAGACAAAAAGTCACAAGATTTTAGAAATATCATATACGGAATATGTTTAATCAATATAAAATAATTTTTTTTTTTTTTTTTTTTTTTTGTAATAATAAACATAATATGTTATATTAACTTAATAATCAATTTTTTCCACTTTGCTACTTAATAAAATAAAATTTTTAATCTCGATATACCGACCTCCATGAAATTTTTTTAAAAATAGTCTTCGCTATATCGAGATAAAAATGTGTATATATAGAGAAATTTAAAATAAAGTGGGAAATCGATAAATAAATTTCAATAGAAATATATATTGATTAAAATCGTAAATTTCGATTTAATCGTTTAATAAATTTAAATATTCATTGGCATATCAATATAATAATTATAATAAATCACTATAGTTGAAATCTTTGTTAATAAATAATAAAAATAAATTCGAATTAAAAATAACAAAAATTTATTAAACAACTCTGCAAAAGACCTTTTTTATGGATTCAAATCTTACCTTAATACAATTCAGGTTGACTTAGAAGGGACAACTTTCTTTGCGGCAGCTGCGACTTTTTCTTTGAATTTTTCCGGATCGTTCATAGAATGAGCCAGTTCGCGTAAATTATCAGTGTCCAGAAGGTTGATAGTGACCTTACTAGCTGTAGCACTCTTAAGCCCAATACCCTGTGAATCATAAAAAAATTTCATTTAATAATTTTCGGAATCGCATATTTAACAGCAAAAAAAAGACAAAAAAATATATATATATATACCTTGACTTTGGGGAATAATCTATCACCAAGTTTTTGTTTTTGTTCATGAATTGGTTTGCTCCTAAGGTTATCCATAAACTCTTCGATTTCCTTATATTCAGGAGTATGAATTCCGTTACTGACGGAAGCAGGAATCTCTGATCTTACAGAATGAGGAACCATAGGTTCCAATGATTTAATAGTTGGAGGGGTAGAAACTGGACTAATATCAGCAGAAATCAAAGGCTTAAATGTTGTGGAAGTATCATCGTCATTAATGACAGCTTCCAATGCTGAATTGGCTTCAACGATTTTATTATTGAGATATTCAGCATTGAAATAACATAACGTTCTCTCCTTTGCGCTTAAGGTCATGAGAAGGTCGAGAATTTCATTAGAATTACGAGGACAAATACTGTTGATGACTTTAAGGAATTTTTCCCTTTGTGATGGGGCTGGACTATTATTATTCATAATAATATTATTATTATTGCTACTACTACTAATAATGTTACTACTGATTGAAGTCGGTGGAATTTGATTGAAAGCTGCGCTCTCACTAATACCACGGCGTTTCTTCTCGTTAAGGAAGCTTCTGGCTTCGGAAATCTAAAGAAATATAGGGTTTATACATGAGTCTTTAAATAATGAACTCCAAAATAAAGGATTAATCTACATTATGATTTAACCTTTTGCTGCAACAGACTAGCATCTTTAAGGATTTGAAGAACTTCGGGAACCTTCGAATTTAACAAATGATCAATGATCGAACTAACTTCTTCAATTGGGACACTGGGGATGGATTTGAACCTTTTTTGTAATTCAGACATTAAAACCTCTCTACGCGCTTTTGGAGCCAACCCGCTAAGATCTTCCTGACCAAATTCGTTAATAGTATTAATATTGTAAAAGTCTGAATTACGCCTGGAAGGAGCGCGACTCTCAGATGGAGAAGCAGGACTGCCATTGAAATGATTAGCCAATTTGGCCTCACGCAATTTCTTTGGTTCATGAAGTCTAACAACAATTTGCTTGGTTCCAAGAGTCTTGCCGTGCATGTAACTTTTCGCTTTATCAGCTTCTTCAGCATTAGTATAACTAACAAAACCAAAGCCTTTTGAATTTCCAGAATCCTGGTCTCTCATGACACGTGCGCTGATAATACGACCAAATTTCCTAAAATGATTGAATAAATCGCTACTGGAAATATTGGCATCAAGATTTTTAATAAATAAATTACATGGATCTACGATCGGACCTTCAGGACCAGGTGACGTT